ATATATACAAAAAATGTTATATATATAAAAATGTGGTATGCACTATTGAGAGTGGACTGCGTTCAGGTCCCTGTCTGTCCGATGTGTAAATCAGAGAGCACAGCACTTGGCTGTGCAGATTCGGGGTAGGTGTACGCAGCAAGGCTGGGGCAGAGCTGCGGTCCCTGCCTTGGCACTGGGTAGGGGGACAGGAGTGTCCGGGGACACAGAGGGAGAACAAACACCAGCGGTATGAGACCTGTCTGAAATCTGGGTAACGTGGTACTGGTGTGCTCTGGGCATTCGAGGCAGGATTTTCCACTCTTTGCAGAAGGGGTGAGGCTGAAGAATGCAAATGGCATGTATCCTCTTTGTGAGCTGGAGCTAGATATGCTAAATACAGAGGATTAATGATATGTGTGCCTCAGCCTGGCTTTCCCCGGGGTGACCTGTGGGGGGGCAAAGCCTCACCATGGGGTGCAGGATGCTGCTGCCCCTTGTGCCCTGGCCTGGTGCTGGGGTGGGGGATGTGTGTGTGTGCAGAATATCAGTGAGTGATGGAGACCGCCCACTGGCCCCTCTTGCCAGATGACCGTGAGGACAGAGACGGATGCAGGTGATGGTGGCAGCGAATGGAGCAGGCGAGGGGATGGTGGGTGCTTGGCAAGGGTGCGGGGAGCTCACCTCAAAGGCAGGAGGGGTGTACGACTAAAGCTGTTGGTACAGGAACTGAGAAAGGCCACTAGATCAGAAACCAAAGGAGCCAGATAGTAAAAAGCCCTGAGGAAGCAAACTGTAAGCAGGAGAAAGAAAAGAAAAAAAAAAAAAAAAAAAAAAAGAGAAACGAAAACACAGTGGAGTTGAAACAGGAGCGAGGTTGTACGGGAGAGGTTTCTACCGGTCAGGCTGGTTGTTAGTAGAGTTGGGGTCTTGCAGGGTCTGCAACAACTTACTATGACTGGCTTGGACCTTTTCTCTTGTATCTGCTTGTTTTCTAGTAAAGTAGCCCTTCCTCAGTGCTAGCTTCTGGGAGGAGACAGCTTTGTCTGCTCTCAAGGGCTCTCTGCCTTTACATGGCTTTCCTCCACTGACCCCAAGCAGAGCATCTCCAGGGCAGCGGCTGAACTGCTGTGGGGTTGCACTATTTTTTTTTTACCTTGGTGGAGAGCTGGGATTTTAGCTTCTCCATCTTGCTGGATCTTCTGAGTTGATGAAAACAGAGCAGCTCTACCACAAAACAATCACCACAACCGCTCTGCCTCCCACCTTTCTGCTCCATTATGGAAATGCAAGGACATGCTGTGCCCACACGTCCCCAAGGCTGCGCCTGCCCAGGGATATCTCCTGCACGGACACTTTCCCTCCCCGGGCTACAGCAGGTCACTCTGCAAAGTATACGTTACCCATGCCACATGCAGCCATGAGATACAGTTTGTTTCTCCATTTTAAATGGGTATTCCTGTATAATTAATTAAGAGCTCACAGCTGAAAGGCTTTGAGCAGGGAGAGGGCTGTGTTTCACCCCCCAGAATCACTGCATCACTGGCTCCTGCAGAGCCAAAAGCAAACGCTCCTATCTATGGATGCTCAGGCTGAGAACGCAGCAAACTCACAGGGAGGGAGGCGGAAAGTCACCCAAAGGTGGCTCCTGGTCTGGATGCCACCCAGACCCTGCCCTACAGTGACCAGGGGCTGCTCACCTGCCAGGCCTCCAGCTGCTGCGAGAGGTTCACCTTCTGCTGGATGGCGTCCAGCAGCTGGCTGTTAAGGGACATCATGTCGATCTTGCACTTGGCCAGCTCCACCTCCACCGCGTTCTTCCTGCAGGGGAGATCAAAAAATTGGGCCATGTGACTTTTTCTTCTTTTTTAGGGGAAGTGCTAAACATATCCTCGAGGAGAAGTCAACAATTTCTTTCCTTGGCGAGTCCCCAAATCCTAAGCTGTTCATCTCTGTTGTATTCTGGACAATATTCACCTGAAGAGTGGGACAGAGCTGTAGACATCATTACTATAAAACCAGCAGATTTCTGGTAAGCACACTATGAAGAATACAAAAAGATATTCAGATACACTGCTGTGTAAGATAGAGTGTGCCTTAATAACATGCAGGATCTGCCATTAAAAATGGAGATCTAAAATGAGGTAGAATCTATATATAAACATTTTTTCCTTTTTTTTCTGTTTACCAATGCATAGGAAAGGAAATGCTATGTGCTAAAACCCAAATGATCTGCACCTGATCACTTGATCAATAAGTTGCAATAGAAAACAAACATAGAAACAAACAAAGCCCTCAAAAAGTACAACTCTGCTTTCAGTTGGGATTTGGACTGAAGGAAGGAAGCAAGGAAGGAAGGAAGTTTATCACAGCATATGCTTTTCAAGAATGACAAACTGTTAAAATTGTTTGAATTAAATGTTATGCTTTAAGAAAAGCTCCCAGTTTCAATGAGGTTGTGCTGGCCCTTGGGAACACCGCTGCTGCATTTCTTTCCAGGCATTTGGTGGCCACCGAGCATGTGATGCCATGGCCAAGGTTGCCCAAAGGGCCCTGGGCGCTCAGCGGCTGAGATGTTCCAGCGGGTACTGCCTACTGGAAAGGAATTGTTCTCTAGGACAGAGCAACTTCCTAAGCTGCCCAAGCTGGGAAATGCCGCTCACCGTGCTGGGAGCACACAGGCGAGCACAAACCTTAAGTTTTCAATTAACTGCTCTGTGATGGGAAACTGTAACATGACTTGCTGGGAACCATCTTTCCTTGCAAACATTTTCAGGAGAAATAATTGCATCTTATTAACTCTAGCTAATTCATCGCCTCCTAATAGCTCCCTTGTGCTCCCCTGCAGAAGAGCAATTTGGGAATTTGTGTTTATATTCCAGGTAGTGGCTGCTTAACATCTCCTATTATAGGATCCTATTTTCCTATTGCTTCCCATGTTGCCAAACTTCAGCTTCAAGCTAAAAATTTTCCATGCCAGATGTCTGCCTCAGGCAGTGATTTTATTTCTGTTCAGAGTTAGGGCTTTTTTTTTGGGGAGGGCTTCAACAAAAGTGACTTAACCCTTGAGGTGCAAGGTGGGAAGCATATCACGAGCCTCCCAGGCGGCTCGCTGCCTGGGAGCAGCCTGCTCAGTCTGTGGAGGGATGCTTTGATTTCTAGCAACAAGATGCTCTTGTCTGCTTTCACTTGCAGCCGCTTTCTGCTCATCAATCACCCGCCACTTACCTGTGCACACTTGTCTTGTCCCCCTTTCTCTGGGCTCCTGCACTAAAGATTAGTGCTTTATCCCAGCAGGGTCATTAACTGCCACGGAGAAGCTGTACCCTTCCACTCCCAGCTCTGGTTTTGAGCACCTTAAACAGCCTTTTGTTGTGAAGTTCCCCATTGCTGCTTGGATATCACCGGGGGATTTATCGTGGCAGCAGCACGTTGCCATAGCCACAGCAGAACCAGCAACCCACACGCACTGGAAATGTCAGAACCACCTCTCTGCACTCCGCAGCGCAGCTGGGATCCTCCTGATTTTTGCCAACAGATGGAGGTGTTACAGAGGACTGCGATGGGAATTTGGTAGCTGGCTACCCGGGGCGAGAGCAGCACGGATGATAGGGTCACTTAAAAAAAGATTAAGGGATTGTGCATGCTGATTTAGCTCCCCCCATCCTCAGAGGTGCAATGTTCTTGTGCTCCTCCTCTTGCTGAGGGCTTGATTATTAGGTATTTCCATAAGGAGACAGACCAGTGATATACTGGTCCATCTGCTTATTGAAGAGATCATCAGATGTATCCTTTCTACCCAGAGCATGGGGGGGTGAATGTTTCTGCCCCTCTCCTCGGGGCAAAGAGCGAGGAGTGCTCAGGGCAGCGTGGCAAGCCCAAGCACAGAGCCGAGGAAGGCAGATATGGGTAGGGGGGGTAGCAAAACTGCACAGGTCTGCAAGGAGGATGGGGAAAATAAAGAGTCAACACAGTGGGAGAATCCTGAAAGGAGAAATAGAGAATTACAGGACTAGAGATGCTAAAAAGACCCTGGAACAGGAAAGGAGAGCAAGTGACCAGAGAAATGGTTTAGGGAAGAAGCCCAAGCAGGACTGTAGGGGGGATGGGCAGGAAGGCAGCGTTGTGTGTCTGGAAAAGCAAAAGAAGAAAAATTGGACAAATAGGGCAGACCGAGTCTTTCTCTTTGGCTCACGGAAGTCCTCTCCTCCTTGCTGTGACTCAGACCAGCACTCTGGATGGCAAAAACATGGTTCACAGCATCCTCCTAAATGCCTCCAAATCCTGCCATGGGGCAGCTCTGGAAATTGGCATCTCCTGCCCTGCCACCAGGCTTCTGTCGGCATTTCCCAATGCCAGCAAAGAGACTCATTCCATCACTTTGTAACAGCTACTGAAATTCATAGAGGGTGGGAGAAACCCACCCTGGAGGTATCTCCTGCTAAGGCACTCCATAACTGCTAACCCAGCCTGGCTTTGGCTGTTCATACCACTTACTTGGCAATGGCCTCATCTCGGTCCCTGATGGCCTGCAGGAGCCGTTCACTTGTCTCCTTGTCTTCAGCAGCACCTCGCAGCCGGTCCCGTTCCTCCTTCAGCGTCGTCATTTCCACACTCAGCAGCGTGACCTGTAGGCAGAGGGAAGGCATGAAACCCAGGGCTGCTCAGACAAATTCACCACGAGTGTGCAGGGGGGAAAAAAGCCACAAGGATCAACCTGGAGGCTGAGCTCCCCTGCCTGTAGGAGAAGCTATGTCTGCTGGGAGGGGGCTGTTAGTGCTGGTGCAACCCCCCATGAAATGTGCCAGCTTGCCCTAGGATGCTGGCAGTGCCAGTCTGAGCAAGATGGGTGATGAGGACAGTCTCAGTAACATGCAGGAACAGCACTGCAAGGTGTGCGGGGCAGGACCTGCCTGCAACTTTGCTGTCACTATGGCATCAGCGCTGAAATATTGCCCCTCTCCAAGTGGTTTGGCTTGTGCACACATCCTCTGAGTCTGCCTGTGGTATTCTGATCTTTCCAGGGCTAAATTATTGCAAACATCACTTAGCAGCAAACAAGATTTTTTGGAGGGGGCCGTTATGTCTCTTGAAGTAGTATGAAGCTGAAGGCAAAGGATGTGAAAATTCCCTTTAACGCCATGGAAGATGTTACTGGCACATCTTACAATTTTAATTAGACTTTAAAATATGTGTTGAGTCTTAAATAGTCTGAGAAATGATCTATCGTTTTGGTCCTGAGCAGAGTGAGTTAATAGGGTGTGAAATCATGCAAGGATTGCATTAGCACAGCTTTGCAATATTTCATACACGTTTAATTTCTTTGTCTAGGGCACACACATGCTCTGTTACGCTACTCCACCACCTGGAAACCCTTCCAGCGTTTGACCCACCTCCTTTTTCTAAATGCAGCTCAGTAGTGCCTGAATCCTCAAAGAAATCTTTAAATAGAGGGCAGACAGTCAAAAAGGGCTGATCACATCAACAGCGTGGGAGGATCTGCCGTGAGCACGGCATGGCTGGGTCGGGGGGGAAGAGGAGGGTGCGAACGCACCCCGTCTGTGTGCAGAGGCTCCCCGGCTGTGTGCTGGGACTGCCAGGGAATTGGGGAGCCCTGCCCGAGCCGTGCCCTCCCACAGCTCAGCATGGGGTGCACCTCAGAGCAATGATGTGATGTAGAGCACTGGTGGAGCTATGTGAAAGGTGCTGAGCACTTTTGCTGAAATCCCAGGGGACAGTGGATCAAGACCAAACTGCGTTTGGGGACAGCTTTGGTGTTTTAAGTGTTTTGGTCTGTGTTTCAGGTAAGAAGAGGATGCCACAGAGGGAGGAAACAGACCAGGCAGGTGTGAAACCGCTTTCCAGTGGAGACAGAGGCAGGGGTGATTCCTGTCTCCACCAGCTCACCTTGCTCTCGGGCAAGAGCAACGAATGTGTGTGGTGCTATGAGGTCCCAAAAGCCGTTTAGGACGTGTTCCCCTTTTATTGTATCAATACTAGTGACAGCACAGAGGGGTGCAGAGGCAGCAAAGCCCTACTGCCTAGGGTAGACCAGTTTTCCATATGCAGTGATTTTTCATTAGTACTGAACTGAAGACAATATTGCCTCTTCTATGGGAGGTGGCAATAATTATTAACCTCCAGCAAGTGTGAGGCTGGGCTGTGGGCAAAAGCTGCAGGAGACATGTACTTGCCACGTGAGGCTGGAGTTCTTCTCCGAGAGCAATGTCTGCTGCCTTTCTAGTTACGCCCCATCTTTCTCCATATAACACAGAGGTGTGACAAGAAAGTAGAACTGCAGTCTTCCCTTTGCTCCCTAAATATTCAGAGCTTTGGTAGTCAGGGACCCCTAAAACCAGAGACAGGTGTCCAGACTTGTGAGGCAGGGTGGGTCCTCTGGTCCTTCCTGGCTGGGGAGTTTGGGGACACCAGCCACAGCAAAGAACAACCAGGTGCTGCTCCCTCCTGGTGTCCTGTCAAGGCCACGTGTGTAAGGAGGTGCTGCGTCCAGACATGCAGGCTGGTGTATGGACGGTCGCTCAAAATCTGTGAATAAGCCTCTAACGGTCTCCGTCAGCATAGCCACATTGCAGTGATCAGGCCCTTGTCTCCTCCATCTCAGGTGTGTTTCAGGGCAAGGGGGACCTGTGGGTGGTGCAGAGGACGATGGCAGCACAGCCAGAGGAGCGTCTGGGCTCATGTCTCACTGGGGACAGAAGTTTGGACCCTCAAAGGTGTCTCTTGTGGGGTGGCTGCATTGCTAAGAGGAGCAGTCCTCGGGGAAGGGTGGGTGCCAGGGCTGTTCTCTCGCTGCAGTCTACCTCTAATCAGCTGCTTTGTCAGCAAGACTATTTCCCATCCTCATACACATGCAACCATTCCCGCCAGGGGTATTTAATGATGCTCTCACTCTTTTTTCTTTGGCCTCCATGGTGGGAGCTCCCGTAGCTCTACACAAGGCTGTCAGACCCCAGGTTGTGCTGACTTCCTGAACAGGGATGTGTTTTCTTTGTTCTTCTCCAAAGGGGTATGGCAAAAGGGCGATACAGCACCACTGGCGAGACCAGCCAAGGGCGTTAATCCCATTCCTTGCTCCAATGCAGTAGGTGCTGCACAAGCAGCTGCACTAAAGGTTGCTTCTGCTGCAGCCTCTGGGTGCCCTCCAGTCTTTGGAGACTTATCCCATAGAGACAGGGACTGCAGAGCATCTCCTCGGGTTCCTGTCTCCATTTGCTGCTTTTGGCATAGGACCTCAGACACAGATGATGCTACGTTCAGTGTGGATGCAGTGTGATTCTGTGCTTTGGGTGTGGTGTTGGTTTCGGGGTTGGATCATTTGTTGCTGTTGAGATTGTCTTCGCCTTAGCCGGTCCCTGTTGGTCCTGGGGTGCTGCATGGTGCCAGGCTGGCCCTGATTAAGATTCTCGGGGAGTACATTTATGAGAGTTGTGTGATGCTGCTGTGGAAGGGGGCAAACCTCGCTCCATGCACAGAACAGCACTGTTTTGTCCGTCTGGCGGTTGCATATACCCTTTACAAGAGCTTAGTGCAAGTAAGTCGGGTCAGACTGGATACCTATGGGTTTCCAGTACCCCATATCAAGCAGCCTTGTACGTTGGAGTCTTCTGCTGAGAAGAATTTAAGCGACACAGGTTGGCTGAAAACCATTTTGGCAGAAAGGTTTAAAGGAAGTTTGGCTGCTTGAGATGTCTGGGATGGGCCCCAGGCACCTTGTCAAAAACTCGGATCCTAAATGCATAAAGCCTCTGCACTGGCTTTAACAGAGTCTCCCTCATCCAACCATAACTGGTTTTGGCCTAAATCCTCCTGGGTTATTTATCATATTGATCTCTTCTATGGAAGGCATGTCTTGGAGGATGAACACCATTGTTACAAGACTACATGTAAAGTGTGGGAATTGCTAACCTGGCTATGCAGTCGCTGCAGCTCCTCCAAACTCTGCCTCAGTTTCCCCCGTTCTCCCTCCATTAATTCCCTCAGGGCTCGTGAATCCTCGCTTGTTCGCCTGATCTGTTCCTCTAAGGTGTCGTCATCGCTTCGTCGAGAGCTCTGAGAGCGGGAGAGAAATCTCTTGCTCAGATTTCACTTTTAAAAAGGCAATTGCATTAATTTGATTCTGGTTTGGGATGGGGGCTACTAAACAAGGAAGAAGAAAGTGTGAATATGACTTTGGCAGAGTTTCAGTTTTGTTCCCATATACCTCCACAGTGGAAACATGCTCAGCTAAGGGTAGTGCTTCTACACATGATAAAAAGAGCATGCAGACATGTTCTCACCTTAGCATATACCAAATTTATAGAGACCTGCTGACCACTTGGTAATGTATGGCTACAGTCTCCATGTCTGTGGACCTTTTGCAGGACTCTCTTATTTTTTAACAAATACAACTTCATCTCTATGCTCAGCCTTCTTACCAGCTGCTACAGGTAGTGAAACGAGGAGGTTGAGTACCCCCATGCAGGTCTGCAGTGGCAGGGTCTGCACTACCTTCCTCATCATGGCATCTCAAATAAGTCATACTGGCCATGCAACTGGCTCGTGCATGAGGAAAATAGGCCTGATTGGAGTCATTGCAAAAAGTGAGGTGTTTTCTAGTCATTTTGCACTGCTGTGGATGTTGAGTGGTCTTCCATGCCATCCCCTCCTGCCCAGCAGCCCCAGGACCATACCCCACAGACACCATTTTGTGCCAGCAAAACCCTTCATCTATCAATGGATTTGAGTCTGGCAGCTCTTGCCAAGACATTTGTACCCAGTGCCAATTCGCAGGGGCAGAACCTACCCACATAGCGGTTATGACGTTTTTGTGATACTACTGCTAATAAAGCAAGGTTAGGAAAATCCTAAGAGAAGTAACTGAACTATGATGTATAAGACAATCTGCAATATTTCCATGTCGGAACTCTAACTTACTGCAAATCTCAAAGAAAGCCTACTTTTGTTAATGTTCCAGAATGACTCCCAGACCAATGATGGTTGCATGAGCTTGAAACTTATGGCAGTCTGATCCCTGCAGCCTGAAACCCCATGTGCTGGCTTGGCTCTTGGCTGACCATTTGAGACACATGGAGCAGGCTGTGCACTGTGACAGCCCATCTCTGTGGGCCACAGAAGTCTTCTCAGAGACCGAGGACTTCAGGATCCAGTGGAAACCTGCAGCAAGCTCTGTCACCTGCACAAGGGGACATGCGCAAGGCGAAGTCTCTCTGTGCCACCAACTTACCGTGGAGTCTGCCCCATCCAGCACATTTTGTATCAGTCTTTTGAGCTCACTGAGAGCTGCCCGTAGGCTGCCAGCTGGGACGTCTTTGGCTGATGAGGTTTCTGAAGACTCATCCATGGAGGAGTCTGTAGAGACTGCTGAGTCTGCGCTGTCGTTTCCTCTGAGATGGGAGCAGAGATATCGCACTTGGCAATATGCTTCCCAGAGCTGCAGCCTCAGCTGGAACAAGAGAGCCTGACATTAGTCTGGGACATGAAGACCCTGGAGATGCTCCTTTCAGCGTGAAGTGAGGTTTGTGATTGCCAAACCTCACAAATATTTGTCTAGCTTGCTATGTTGGTTTTGAAATGGATGCAGAGATTTATTTTCATATGGTCAAATGGGTGTTGATACCAGAGCTGAGACTAGAACCCCAATTTTCTGGCTCTTGGTTCAGCTCCCAATTCAGATCAAATGCATTAAACTCCCTCTCCCTCTGGGAATGGTCACAGAGGTCCATGGGCTTTCCCAGGGGCCAGAGGGCAAATACCTGTTCTCGTTCTTGTTCCAGCTCCTCTGCTTCCATGCTCTGCTCTATCTCAGACAGCAGGGACGTACTGGTTGTGTTGAAATTTTGGAGACTTCTCTCCTCGCTGAGCTCTTCTACCTTCCCCTGCAGCTGCCGGTAGGACAGTCGCACCTCCTGGAGCTCCAGCTGGCTTTGGTGCAGCTTGCAAAGAAAATCAAGGAATTTGTCAAGTAAGCAGGAAAAAGAAAATTAGTGGAGGTGATAAGGACTGGATGAATCTCTTTTGGTTTGTGAAGGAGCTGAGAGGCAGGAATGGGTGTCGTGAAAGAGGGTTTCCAGCCAGGAGGAAAGTACTCTTGGCTGGTATTGAGATTTATTAGAGCTTAATAATCTCCAAATGTCATTAGACACTGTTTAGACTCCAGAATATCCTGAAAGATAAAAATAGCAGGTTAATCAGCACTAAAATGAGGAACACTGTAAAGAAGTTGGGACTCAGGTAAAAAAATTTGCTAAAAACAACACAGCAGGAAGTCAATCCAAAAAGAAAAGTAATATAGACATGTTTTTTAAAAAAAGCTATACACATATTTAAATACAAATGTATATTAAAAAAAAGGGAAAAAAATATTCAGGGCTGTTTTGGAGAGCTGGCGATCCAGTAGTTGTCAACCCACAGAAGAGAAATGGAAAAATCTTGCTCTCTGCTAAGACGCCTGAAGCTACAGAGGTATCAGCTTGTTCTCCGGAGAGTGGCATTTGGTGACACACAGCTCCAGACACCATGGGGCTTGTTGGGAAACCGTTTGACCAGGGAGAGCTACGAGGCCAGCTACTACCCTCTGGGACAGCGGGGTTTAAAAAAGCTCCTTCTGAAGCCGATTCTGCTGTTACAAATCAAGTAAAATGAACTGCAACCAAAGTTCTCTGCTTCTTTATACATTTACCTCATTTCCCCAGCACCCTGTCCCACTCCCCTGCTCAGATCGCCCTCCCAAGCTGCTCTTTGCTGTCACGATGCCCCGTTGCAGTTCCTGTTATCTGTCCATATGGGGAATACCCAGGACCTTGCTTGTTGCCATGCCTACACGAGCCGTTTTATTCTTCCAGTTGTTTTGCCTGCCAGTTCCTGATTATCTTCCCAGTCAATTTTACCTCAAACTACATCTTTTACTTCATTTCCCCTCTCTGCCCTGTTCCATCGCTGCCTCCTCACCTGCAGGTCCTTGTCATGGCTTTGTCTCTCCAGGATGAGGACTCGGTCCTGCAGCTCCTCCACGGTTCCCTGGAGCAGGTCATTCTCCTCCATCATGGCACTAAGGCGATGCTCCAGCTCCCGCTTTCTGTCCGTCAGCATTTTGATCTGCAGAGGAAAGAGAGGCGGTGTCGGACCCCATGCTTTCCAGGGAGCAGAGAGGAGGGAAATCACGTTTGCAAGAGAGAAATGGAACAGCAAAAACCAAAAGTATGCACGTACATATTCTGTACCTGTATGAGTGAAACTGTACCTCTGTGTGTGGTTTCGAGTTTAGGAAGGCTCTGAAAGGAAACTTCTCCTTCCCCGGGCTGCAGGGGCAGCTCGAGGGGCTGGGTGTGCATTGGCAGGAGCCCAGGGAGCAGCCAGAAATGTCCAAAGGGATTAAGCAGAGACCCGTCCTGCCCACTCCTTGTACCTTAAAGTCTGCGAGACTGGACAAAGCTAGTTACTTTTCCTGACTCGTCCCCAACTCAGCATGGTGGCATTTTCTCCTGTATAGGTGCTGGAGACCACAGCGTGAGCCTGCGGGATCCTGCTCCCCGCAGGACTGTGCCACAGCACTGCCCATAAGCTTTTCTTAATTGCTGCATGTTCGCTCGGTCCTCACCAGGGATTTTTCTGTCTTTTTACTTGTGAAGACTCCTTTCTGTGCCATGCTTATTTTTAGTTTCTCAGCAATCGGTTGCCTTTTTAAAATTGGTTCATTTCTTTTAATTGTCAAGGGCAGTGATTTCAAGTGAAGAGGGACAATGTGCCAAGCAAAACCTCTGTGATTCGGTTAGCTGGGAACAGCACACAGGATGAATCAGCACTAGCCAAGGTCATTTCTTGTTTAACCAAGAAAAAGGAGCCTTTTCCCAGATTAGTACACACAGGACCTCCGGGGACTGGGTATGCCATCTACCAGTCCACTATAACCCTAAATATTCCCTCTGGCCTCCTTTCAATTCATGGACCATAGACAAATTCAGCAACTTCCCACTGCTTTACTGGCCTCTTTGGGACCTTGTCTCTGCTGCTTTCCAGGTTGCTGGAAAGATTTGGCTATACAAAGGAATATTAGCAAAGTGTGTGGACTTGCTATTTCTGCAGGGTAAAGGCTGCTGTAGGTATTAGAAAGCTGCTCTTAGGTGACTAATGGTTTCTGAGATGTCTCTTCCCACCACCATCATGATTTGCGTGGGCTGGAGAAAAGGGATGCAAGAAAAATAAGAGATATAATACAGAGATTGTATCGAGAGTTCATATTTGGTATCCAAACCAGTAACGAACACGCTGTGAACGACCGTATAACAGAAAAAACATCGCTCTGCCATGGGCCATGGGAAAGGCACAGAGGGGGAAGGGATTTGGAAAGCAAGAGACAGAAAGGAGGCGAGGAGGCAAGGTGGGGCATGCACAGTGACAGGCATGCATGATAACAGCAATGCACATGCAGGCAAACCCTTTCCAAGCCTCCATACTTACTTCGAGGACCTGCTGCTCCACACCAAGGGGAGGGGAAGAAAAGGCGAGGGACCAGCAGGGAGCAGGTGGGAGCAGGAGAAAAGAAGAAATTGAAAGATTTTTAGGAAAAGCTCTTCCAGACAGCTTATAAATAAAAGAAGTGGTCAGGTAGCAGAGCTGGACATCTTCTACCCATCTAGTTCCTGCCTACATGGTCCCCAGTGACCCCTGTCAAGGAAGGGAAGAGGAAGGAAGGTAGTATCATTCCTAGGGCTAAAACAGGCAGGGGCGCCTTGCTTTCCCACGTGTGTGTCTCAGAGGCAGGATAGGATTGCTGCTTTCTTTGCAAGCATGACGAACAGAAGGAGAAAACAACAACCCTTGCAGACCTTCCCACCACGCCCCAAAGTTTAATCCATACTGGGCAGCAGCCCTGCAGGGGCACAGCCTGGGAGATCCTTCTCATCCGTTCATTTTACAGGCATGCTCCGAGGCAACAGTGGAAGCTGCCCTATGCCACCCCAGCCAGCCCTGGGTTGCAGCAAAAATTCTCGCTGGGGGAGTCCTTTACCCCACAGCTACCATCCCTGTCTTTGCTCCAAGCAGCAGGTTTTGTTTACTCCGTTTCGAGGGGTTCGTTATAGGCGTTAAAACAGCCCTGGCCGCCTTTCGTGAAGGAGCGAGGCCGAGCGCGGGTGACTCACCTCGGCCTGAAGGCTCTCCAGCCGCACGATGTGTTGACTGCTGGAGGAGTTCTTCTCCCGAAAGTCCTCCCGGAGTGTGTGGACCTGCAAGGAGAGCTGCCGCTCCACCTCCGATGCCTGCAAGGAGACATCAGCTGGCATTACCCCGGGGGGCTGTCCCACAGACCAAAGCAGTCATCTCTTCTTGCCCATGGGAAGATCTGCCCTGATATGACTTCTGCACAAGCCCTAGTTTTGGCAGAAACTCTGAAGCCTGCACAGTTTGGGTGCGGGAAAAGCTCATCCTGGACAGGTGTTGAGGAAAGCAGCAATTTAGACCATGTTGATTTTTCCCTTGGGGCAGCAAAGGGGACACGGCCCATAACTTTATTCCATTGCAAAATAGCATGATGACACCTGTTTCCCACTGGAAATTCTGTTTTCCTCAAAAACAGTAGCCTAGGTGGGGTTGAGGAGGAAACCAGGCCACTCGCAAAGGTGAAGGGAGCCAATCTCCACAGTCCCCTGGGATACACTACTATTAGATTCATTCTTTCTAAACCTCTGAACATCTTTGGCACAGCTCTAAAATAACAAGTGCTCTTTGCCTCTGATTTCTGGCTCCCGTCAGGGCCAGACGGAGAAGCGTCCGCTCCACATGACTGTCGGTGCAGGATCGCTGAGGTTGGCCCTCTTTTTCATTTCGAAGGAGGGATGCCCCATTTATGCGGGGTGGTTTGAGGACAGCGGAAAGGCCATTCCTACCTGCAGGATCCAGGCTGCAGAGAGCCCATATAAATGACAGCTTAGACATGTTAACTACTCTCCAGACAGCTTTATGGCTGCATAGTGAACACACTTGTTTAGGCTTGTAAGAGAACATAAGGTTTTTATGACAAATCCGTAATGAGACAGCACAAATGGATGGTTTTCTATTTAATTAGCCTCCATCAGGTTCCATTACGCTTAGGCACAGACCTCCCCCTCCGGCAGATTAGTTGGAAGTGAATTGATCCCCTTCAAGAAGTGGCATTGCTGTCCTGCTCGGGGCACAGACAGAGCTGTATGTGCAAGGGTAAATGCCATCAGCAGCCACCATGCTTAGACAGGGAGGTGAGATAGGAGGAAGGGATGGGGGCAAGAGGAGAAAAACCTCCATTGGGGTCAGCAGCTGTGGGCAGATTTGGGAGTGCAGCCTTACATCTGGCAAACATGGGTCAGGATTTGACTCGGGGTGCTCTGGCTGACCGAGAGCCCAAGGCAGCAGCTCCACCAAAGGGTGCGATGACTTTGCTCTAGCAGCTCGTGACCTGAGGAACGAGCACACAGACTCAGCCTGAGCTGGCCACAAAGGCAACACTACCTGCTTTTAAAAATGGTCCCTTATTTTGCACAGTCTGCAGCAAAATAACCCAAATCAGAAGCAAGAAATGAAAAGCTGTTCCAGCTCCAACAAGTAGAGGAAACTGTGGTTGCCCCAACACTGCTTGCTTGCAGGGGCAGCAGAAGACAGAAGCGTGGCCATCGAAATCAGCCAGGCTCTGACCACTGGCTTCTGGAATGAGAAATGGTTTCCAAGAGAAAGAAAAGATCTTGTCTATCAATTGGTTTTTAGTTCCCTTCTTATACTGGATTAGCATAGCTGGTCTTTTCCCCTTCTGTAAAACCTCACATCAGAGGCCTTTGCATATCACCCTCACCTCATGTATTTAATAAAGCTTCCTTGCACAGGTAGAGTACACAAAATACAATGATAGCACAGTACTATAGGAAGGGGTTAGTTATTCTTCTTCCCTTAAGCAGCTATAGATTTCAAAGCATCCTGAGCAGCTATTAATTGGTGACACTAAAGAAGATGGATGGATTGTGCTTTTTTGAATGATTCACTTGCTTTTGTAAAGAGTGCTGAAACATCTTCATGCTGAAATACTCTACAGGAGCTATCAAGGATGAAAAAGCACCAGATGAAAAGCACTGAAGGATTTTGCCTGCAAGATGTTGACCACACTCCCAAGGAGCACAAGTGGTACCAGATGAAATGACACACCAGTATTTGATGGTTAACTGTATAACATAATTTATATTACAATTCTATGTACGGACAGTGTAAATGTCCAATATAGCAGTAAGAAACAAGGGAGTGTTAATGGCATTGTAAAAATCCTTGGTAAGACAATATATAGCTGCTGTTGCTAGTTCTGGCCCCCATGCTCAGATTGGAGCGGGTGAAGGGATGGGCTGCAAGGGTGATTCAGATCGTGGAAAGTCTGTTATATGAAAGGAGACTAAAAAAGGACGGCTTCTTTTATCTCATGCAATGAATGCTGAGAGAGGACACCCTATAAATACATCACGGATAAGCACACAGAAGGGAGAAGCACTATTTAAGCAGAAGCATAATTTTGGCAGAAAAAAAAAAGATGTGAATAAACTGGATAAGAGTATATTACGGTTGGGAATAGGATTTCCAAGGAGCTGCAGTAGGATCCCTCCCCCTGCACCATTACAGTAGGAGAAATGGTGGCAAAAAATAATTTTGTAATGGAGCTGGATCACTTTATCATGCAGTTTCTTTCAGAGGGCTGCCTACGACAGAAGGGAAATGAATTGACCTCAAAGGTCCTTTCTGGTACTAGACTGCTTGCAGGACTGTAAGGTTTGTATTCACCAGCTTTAAATCATCATCTGGAATGTATCTACTTGCTGCTCAGCTTACATGCTCACACATCTTATTCCTGCAGTTAGAGCCCACATGGAGGGAAGAAAGGACTCACTTACAGTTAGCATTTGGGGCCCTAAAGCAGACGGAGTCACCTCAGCACACACCATTCACATTCTTATCTCATGCAGCAGAGAAAAGTGAAAAGAATACTTTCTTTAGCTTCATACAGTGCAGAATACTCTCTCTGACCAGCCGTTTAACAGAAGTAAACAGAAATGACTGTATCAGGTGTTTCCTTCCACAGGAGAATGAGAAAAAGTCTTCATCCATTTCTTCTAGATAGGGAAATGGCTGATACCTTTAGTCTCACCTTTGCAAAGATTTGATTTCTCATAGACATGAGACAAAGTCTTCTGAGCCAAGCTCTGGCCATGGAAAGCCCCTTTTCATGCTACATTTGTTTCAGAGGTTATTAATACTGCTGCAGAACTACCCTTCCTAATTGATTATAAAGTCTGGATTTTAACATCAATTTACATTATTTTATGGAAAGCTACCCTGACAGTGTCCAGAATTTGTCGGGCTTTATGGCATATTTTCATACAGCGTCTGCTTGGGTTCTCCATGCTGCTGTACATGTGTGCATGTGTACACGGGTGTTTTAAACCATGAGCTCACTACTGATTACTTCAAACCTGCTCTTTTACTTGTGCCATCTGAAGATGTAACCTTGCATCTACATCTTCCCTTTATTAGTCAAATAAGCTACGGCTTTTGTTGAATTGAAGTGAGTTTCTTCTGCCTCAGCCAGTCTGGCTCTACTGCCATTATGCAAACTGTAGGGCTTTCTCTTCCCCATCAGTGTTTTCCTAAACATTAAAAGCTAAAACCTTTTGTGGTTTCGTCAATCATTTAGTGATGCATTGATTTTGCAAGACAGAAATAATATTCTTTCCAGAAAGTCAGACATATATCGCTCGACATCATAGCTTTGCTCTGTAGTTAAGAAAGAATTAATTTCCTGGGTATAGGCAAATTAGCCAACACAGCCACCAGGCAGAGTTTGAAACGTATCTGCAAAAGTGTAGACATCAATTCACAATTAGATATATTCAATCAACTGTGACATTTGTTTTCTGGACTTTAGGCAAGTTTTAGATGAGAATTGGGCAGTGCAAGAAGAAAGGAAGAGCAGGAGGACATTTTGGCCTCTGTTCTTATTAAGAGCTATTTTTCATTGCAAACCTAATTAAGTTTCTCTTGTGATTAATTCTGAAGTGCTAAAATACACAAAAATGTGTAGATATTTGGCAGAAAAATATGGCTTACCAGTTACAATAACTCCATAAGGTTTAACATCTGGAACATATGAGCCATAAATAAATTAAATAAATGTCAATAAATTGGAGCACTGATGCTCCTGTAAAGAGGGAATCTTTGAAATGTTTGGGATGGACTGTGAGAAATAAATGGTCTGTAGAATTGTCTCATTCAAAGAAAATCCTCTTTTGGGGAAAGATTTTCTAAATAAAACTAACTGCATACAAACTATCCAGCTATAAGTCATGTCAGAAATAAAAGGAGAATGGAAAAAGTTTAATAGACTGTAGCTGGCTGAAGAAACCAATGTTTCCGTATGATTTACTCTACAAACAAGACGATTCAAATTTAACAAAGGATATTCAAGATTTTCTTGCCTAAAATAGCTAAGAAAGAGAAGTCCTAATTGGTGCTAAATTTGTAACACTCAGGAGAGCATGTTACCCCTTTTATTAATTTGCTAATAGCTGAGTTCAAGGGACTCCCCGTTCCCACTGTGGTACCACTAACACTTCAAACCACTAATTGCTGCCTCTCCTGGCTTCAGGTTCCCAGATTCCCAGCTCTTCTCTGGGAGGAAAATATATTTGGCTACTGAAACGCAAGCAAAGGAGGAAATAACAAATATCTTGCTTTAGAATAATAATTAAAAAAAATACATTAATCTGGCTGCCGAGGGAAGCCCCAGAGGATTGGGATTACTGCCCTGCCACCGCAGCCAGCACCCTGGTGCCCACTGGCAGTGGTGGGAAGCCTGGTTTTCTGGGCTAGCTGACCCATGCCAAGAAAGCGGTGAGACCATGGATATTTTCCAGCCCTTGGCATGTCGGCATAAGCAACCATCTATATTTTCCATACCTGGAGGTTGCCCAATTTGGGAACCTTTGAGAGATTTTTACCAAAGCTTTTAATTCAGGTCAACTTTAAATTGTTATTCGAAGCATTCGGCTATCCAGGAAAGTGCTTAGGTAATAGCGGTGCTTGCTGTTTGTCACCTTTTGAGGGCTTCAGTTTGCATTTGCAGATTTATGTGCACAGAAGAGGGATTTCCCGACGGATGGCCCCTGCGTCGCCGCTCCCTCAGCCCCATCATGGCAAGACCGCCGCAACGTGGGGAGAAGAGCAATGGCACTGTGGTCAGCTGGCCAGATGCCCA